AAAAACGGGTTTCCTGAAAAGTGTACCACTCGACTACACTTGTTTTGAAACTGCATGAAAAAATGTTTCGGCCTCCTGAAAACTAGGGTAACATTCTGTAAATTAAATTTTTTTAATATGTGATTGACCCTCTCCTGAAACGGTCAGAAATCACATTACAGCTTGCTGAAAAGTTCTCTAACTAGTGGAAAATCCAAAAACATTGCAGTCGACCCGTCTTCGAAACAATGTTTTAAAATTATATATTGAACGATTTATTAATAAATTAAACGGCTCCCTCTGAATACATATAGGGCATTTTGGGTTAGGGCATGTCAGCGCCGGTAGCCTGTTACTTTTAATAGCGATCCCAACTGCACTATTTAGTATTTGACGCAAATTACAGAGGAACAAAGCTGAAATGCCAGAGATTAATTATATGCGTTATATACATTGATATACAAAAAACCCAAGATGCACAATCAACGTCTAAAAAACGTCCTCAAAAAATGAGCGCAACATTCTAAATTGTGCGCTCATTTCAAATAGTCTCGCGTCGCTCGCGTCTGGGAGCAGTTGTCAAAAATGTCAAAGTGTTCTGTGAGAAATTGTAAAAATATTACGTCAAGAAGGCTAAAAAAGGATGGGATATCGTATTTTCGGTAAGTAAAAAACTTTATTGATTAGTTTTTGTTGTTTTTATGACTGATTATAACAAGCAATGTGTTATTTTTATTTATTTTTTCTAAAAACTTCATTCAACGCACAAACTTCTATACGGCCAACTTCAATGGCTGCTTGTTCAGTGTTAGAACAACGCATTACAGTCTTCTTTTTATTTTAGTCGCATTATAAAAATGACCCTGTTCTAATAAGTGGAGTCGATGTTATTTATTTGTGTTTTTTTTTATAAATAAATTTATGTACTTTTGAACTTTTTTTGTGTGTAGTTTTTGACAAATATATTTACGCTATATAAAGTGTAGGTCAGGAGGTAGCCAATTTAAAAAATTTTTTAATTTAAAGAAAAAACTTTTTAACCGGATTGAAGTTATGTATTATTATAAATTTACAACTATTTAACATCCAACACCTTTTGTCTTCAGTCACCGTGACCACGCACGCTGTAAAGCACGCGAAACGTGGGATAAATTTAAAATTATGTTAAATAGTTGTAAATAAAAAAGTTATGTTCGACTTCACTCAATACCTTGTCCTACCGACCACGGTCGGTCGTAAAATTTTATTGCTTTAAGTACACTGCGTTGTAATAACAACCTTAAACAATTTGCGTAAGGTTGATTTTGCAATAATATATGCTTGTAACTTATAGAAAGAGACAGAAATAGTGTTTCGGGACACTTTCGAGCGTTACTTTTATTCGAGACTGTGCATCTTGGGTTTTTTGTATATCAATGGTTATATAGTTCGAATCTTACATCGCCTAAAATCCTGTACAAGAAAATTTCCTGAAAAGGCAAATTTCAATTTTAATCCAGGTCCACCCTATAGTGCAATCAACATTACTAATATCTCCTTCAATTCTGAGCAAGTTAACTAATTATCTTCAGATTTTCGTCAATTATTTTACCTGACTATAGGTGTACCATTAAAAACGTCAAGGCAAAGTCGGGTGATGAGGCGTGACAGAAATTTAGAAGAATTATCTAAAAACGCACACAATTAACACACTTCAACAAGTAAGGAAGATATGTCAAATTAGACATTCGAAGTTATACAAAGTCCCAACAAGCTGAATTTCTGTGAAATTGTTCAAAACATAATTATAAACAATGTCTAGAAGTTCCCCATCATTCCCGTGTAAGGAATTTTTTTTATTCAAGGTCAAAGGTAAAAAAAATGAGTTTTTCGCGATTTTAAGCAAAACGATAAGTTTTATCATAAAAGTACCTCAGACAAAAATTGTAGATCATAAAATTATCTATAAAAAATGTTTCAATACTTTTTTCTTACGAGCCACCGTTTCTGAGATATAACGATTCAAAAAGTTATAAAAGTTGTTATCGTCATAATAATATGCACACGTTTCCACGCCACCTATGAGGTAGTGTACTTCAGCGCGTTCTTTTTAACGTGGTTTCCCCAGTAGGCGTACACCACGGATCAGTTGTGATCCTGTTTAATGTAAAACTATTGCAAAATAACGGAAATTTTCAAAGATTGGGAAAGATAAAAGCGATGTAAATTAAAAAAAAGTGTTGAAGTTTATTCGTCTTATTCTTAAGTTTCAAATTCTTGTTCTTCTTCTTGATCTTCTTCTTGTTCTTCTTCTCCTGCTTCTCCTGCTTCTTCAAACGAATCCTCCATTGTTTGTGATTCAATATTAGAGCACGACCGGCCTTGACAATTTGTGCATGCCAAAGAACAAGACAGTCCGACTTTTTTGCAACCACATTTAGCACTACATCCCTTTTTGCAGTTGCAAAAAATAGTGTTCAGCCGTTTTTCCGGCGCAGGTGGAAGTAAAGTTTGAACTGGCTCTAATATATTGTTGACCAACTTCCAACCCCAGTCTATACGGTCTAGCTGATAACCAAGCCACACTTGAACTTGGTAATATACTCGAAAAAGATGTTGGTGAGCAGCAACATAGGTTGGAGGAAGACAAGGTAATTGAACTTGTTTTTTATTTTTAGGATTTTTACACTGGCTTAAAGATTAAGGGACTGGGTTTCATTTTACCTGATATTCTTATAGCTAAAACTTATGTATATTTTATGTTGTAAGTAAATAGAAAAATATTTAAACATTTAATATATATTATAAAATATAACAACTCTAGATGTATATACGTGGCGTACTCATGCATATTATGACGATAGCAACTTTTATAACTTTTTGAATCGTTATGTCTCAGAAACGGTGGCTCCTAAGAAAAAAAGTATTGATACATTTTTTATAGATAATTTTATGATCTACAATTTTTGTCAAAGGAACTTTTATGATAAAACTTACCGTTTTGCTGAAAATCGCGAAAAACTCATTTTTTACCTTTGAACTTGAATAAAAATTTTTCCTTACACGGGAATGATGGGGAACTTCTAGACATTGTTTATAATTATGTTTTGAACAATTTCACTGAAATTCAGCTTGTTGGGACTTAATGTAACTTCACTCTCATTTTTGGTCTAAATTGACCGGGCTATTAGGAATTTAATGAATTTAAATGTCATTGAAATATTAAGTGTCGAAAATTAATACAAATTATAATTTTTTTTCAAATTTATTTCTTCCATAATAAAACCACGTGGCATTTAAATTTACTATAAATAAATAATAAATAATAAATAATAAATAATAAATAATAAATAATAAATAATAAATAATAAATAATAAATAATAAATAATAAATAATAAATAATAAATAATAAATAATAAATAATAAATAATAAATAATAAATAATAAATAATAAATAATAAATAATAAATAATAAATAATAAATAATAAATAATAAATAATAAATAATAAATAATAAATAATAAATAATAAATAATAAATAATAAATAATAAATAATAAATAATAAATAATAAATAATAAATAATAAATAATAAATAATAAATAATAAATAATAAATAATAAATAATAAATAATAAATAATAAATAATAAATAATAAATAATAAATAATAAATAATAAATAATAAATAATAAATAATAAATAATAAATAATAAATAATAAATAATAAATAATAAATAATAAATAATAAATAATAAATAATAAATAATAAATAATAAATAATAAATAATAAATAATAAATAATAAATAATAAATAATAAATAATAAATAATAAATAATAAATAATAAATAATAAATAATAAATAATAAATAATAAATAATAAATAATAAATAATAAATAATAAATAATAAATAATAAATAATAAATAATAAATAATAAATAATAAATAATAAATAATAAATAATAAATAATAAATAATAAATAATAAATAATAAATAATAAATAATAAATAATAAATAATAAATAATAAATAATAAATAATAAATAATAAATAATAAATAATAAATAATAAATAATAAATAATAAATAATAAACACTATCATTGTTATCGTTATTATATCTTTTTGTTATTAATGGCTTCGAATCTCTGAATCAACCGTGGTAGGGACGAAAAAGATGGCGCGTAACGGAAAAATGATATTACTGACATTATTGAACTTATACTTCTTTTGGCCCTTAAATTACACCTATTAATTTAAATTACACATATTAATTTAAATTTCACATATTATATAAGTAACAATGTGCTATTAACCACTTATGATAAATGCATCACAAGCCAAAAGATTAGGCCGATCGTGCCTCTCTATCGCGTGTACCACGCTATATCGTTTATCCACTAAATAGAGAGGTTCATTAATCTTAATTTTCAAAATATATTTTTAAACGAAACGTATACTTAGTGCAGGCCATTTATTATACATAAAAGTGAGTTATCCATTAAACATATACATCTTGATTAGTGGATAGTACGTGCATCGTGTTTGCATACAATATGGAAATATTTGATAAAATCGTGATTGGTGTACTGCTGTTGTGCCTTTTATGGATTATACACTACTATATATTATTATTGAAATGTAAGTGCTGGAGAAGTCCACCATGCCGCTGTGATATTATATACAATAACTCCTCCAACGTGAATCTTGAGAAGGGTGACCAATGCGTTTCCACCGGGCTGCCAAGTAAATTGCCGTAAACTGCAAACGCCTTCAGTTTCATGCTCTCCTGGTAGGTCTGTTTGATGTCACACGGTTTTGGTAGATTTCAGGATTTGAGAAGAGATACCACCAGGAGAGATACATCTTGGTCAACATTAATTAGTTCTTTTGTGTTAGAACTCTGACATATGTGTATTAAAAGTTGTAATCGAACTTTGTGTTAAAAAGTTGCCAAAAGTGATGTGCTTATTTGGTGACGGGCATTAAACCCATTCGTTCGAATAATGGAGGGTGCCTTCCTTCCCGTTATTACCCACGCGAGATGCGAGGCCCCGTGGTGCGCTGCCTGGCCGCTGCTCCACACCTTGGGGACAATAAGGGCAGACACCTCACTGGTACCTTCTTTCTCACCGATGATAACATGGAAGGGATCATACAGTGGTTGGTTGGTGTTTTTGAAAACTTTTTCGGTAAGTTAATAGACAATTTAAATATTAATTGGGGCCGTTCAAGTATAACATAAGCAGATTTACTGCAACTTATCCCCCCCTCTTCTCGTCAGCAAAAGTAAGCAAAGCTCTCAAAAATAATATTACATAAACGTATTAACTTTTTGTAGGAATGGGTAATATGTGTAAAAAAAGTAAATAATTACTGTGCACGTAATCACCAAATAAGAAAAACAAAGAAGAGGAGGTCCTCCCCCCTATAGTGCTTACATATATTTACATACTTCTACTACAACAAAATATACTATCTTCTCTCTGATAGTGGTAGAGAGTGTGTCTGTCTGTATGGTAATATTGAAATATTAAAAATAAATATTTCATAGACGTTAAAATAATTTTGATATAGACGAATATTAAATAAAATGTATTTAACTCAATCTATGACGACATTGTTGCAGGCTAAAGTTAAAGAATGGCGGGACAACTATCAAGCGATTAAAGAAAAAATGACAGGTCAAAAACAAAAAGGAAAGATTGACAAAAGAAAGCAGACCAACGCTCAAGGCAAAAGAAAGTCAGGGGAAACACCTGAGGTTAGTGACGTGAAGAGGAAAAGAGAAGGAGATATGGAAGTGGAAGAGATTGGGACAAAACGACGTCATGATGATGATGATGAAGGTAGTTCATTATTATTTTCGTTGCAACCTGTACGTTTCTTCGCGGTGTTTTACTCCACTGTATGGACAAGCAGTTGTAAATAGCATAATCCATTACATCGGTGTTCGGACGCATGCCCTTGAGGTCTAGAGGCGAGTCTCCTAATTACACAAACCTATGAAAGCAATAAAAGTACGAAATAAATATATAAAATAAATCGATTTAATTATAAGTATACAATACAGGTGGTATTGTAAAACATGACTGTATTATAATTCAACTACAGCCTTGCGATTCTGTAACTCACTTTTCGAACTCTCGAAGCGGTTTTTACAGCTGCGGTCGCGCTCAAATCAGTCGTAAAGCAGTCATATTACGATTTCGCATTCTGATAAACAATAAACTACAAGCTCCCTCCTTATCTTAACAAATTAAAAAAAATCCTTTTCCGAAGTTTTCTTTCACTAGAAAATGTTTTGTTGAACTAATATTTTTTGATAAAAACATCTTTTACAAGAGACGGACACAGCTCAGCAGTTTCATGCCCAGCGTGCTTCAAAAGGCATCGACAAGTAATAGCAATGGCTCAGCCAATGGCGATAAACGACCGCTCTCTAATCACGACTTTAGAAATCTTCTGCTCAAAAAGTAATGCGAACAATACATAGGTAGTTTTGTCCGATTTGTATATATAGTAAAAGCATTATTATGAAAAAAACGACGGGTTGCACTCCGGGAGTGCCGGCAGAAGTGAAAACTTGAATATTAACGTTGTGCATTTATGATATTTTGGAATGGTTAGGGTATAATTTTGCACGAATTGCTTTTATTATCAGTATAAAAGTACTTTCATTTATGTGGTAGAATACAATATTTATTTATTGCGCTATCGTTTATATAAATTGTCATGTTTGTACACAATTTATATTACATTAAATACGCCGCGGCAGCTGTCTACTCTCCATCCGTCTTACGAATTTTCGATCAGGTCAATTAGTGTCCTGACGCGAGTTTAACTACCCATTCCAAAAAAAGTGTACAACGCCGCTAAAGAAGTTTTTACCCCAAAAAATTGATTATTCTCGCTCTCTGGGCCGAATAAATAAATAATCATTAAAATGAAGAGGCTGTTGTCTCTGTGTTGGCGAAAGTAAGGCTTGGTTTCGATTCCCCGGCGAAGATTATTTGAGCATTCGTAGGCTTGGCTGAAAATGACCAATAAAATACACAATTGTCTGCCCCATCTGGTTACGGGTGAGAACGTGGAGTGTTGGCAAATTTTAATCCGACATTTTATACAAGAACAAAGAAATTAATAAACGAAAATTATACAGCTATTAACATAAGCAGTAAAGTTACTTAAACAAAACATATTAATAATTTAAGTCAAGGTTAATAATTTCATGTGTTAGTTATATATTTAAGCCAAATTAACCAATATATTATTGGAGGTCTTCTCATGAATTACAACAATAGAGTGGCTTTTTTTTCTGTATACAATAATTACATTTATAAGTGTTTGTACTACGCAATGAATAACCATTGTATTTGAATTTTCCATTTAACATTTGTAGGATTTAATGGATATTATTGTCATACAGTATCTACACCCTTTTATTCTTCAGTTTGATTCACAGAGTAATAATAAATTACGTTAAGGCTACTACGTACTTTCAATATTGAGTTTTCGTGATCGGGATCGGGATAATTTTTAAGAGCCATTTTCTTATTGAGCTAATAATTGAATTTACGTGGTAAACTACATTTGTTTTTAAAAAGATATTGTCGAGTAACTAACCGTTTACTCTACAATATCTTCTACAAGGGTTTATTTTCAATTAAATCTACGAGAAATTTGTTTACACTAAAAAACCGGAAATTACGCACAGAAATTCACTAATTACACAAATTACTGTCACTAATTACTTTAATTACACGCACTTCACACAGTACTCGCACTTTATCTCTTGAAAGCGCATTCGAAACTGAACTAATTGGTCGCGTTTTGGCTCGCTTATATATCCCTGGGAATAGTCTTGAACGATGTTTGAGAACTCTCTAGGCGGGAGCGCTACTGAGTAGTGATTACACAATTCTAGAACGTGCGTACTCGCTATATCTTTCGCACATTGCTCTGTCGTACGGCGTTCTAGAGTGCTAGGCCTAGCTTCGAGAAGGGTTCCGATCTTCCCTCTCTCTCGCTTATCATACCGTCCGTGTCCCACATCTAGATTATTCGGCTTAGAATATTCCGTCTTCCAGGCCTAAAAACGGGTTTCCTGAAAAGTGTACCACTCGACTACACTTGTTTTGAAACTGCATGAAAAAATGTTTCGGCCTCCTGAAAACTAGGGTAACATTCTGTAAATTAAATTTTTTTAATATGTGATTGACCCTCTCCTGAAACGGTCAGAAATCACATTACAGCTTGCTGAAAAGTTCTCTAACTAGTGGAAAATCCAAAAACATTGCAGTCGACCCGTCTTCGAAACAATGTTTTAAAATTATATATTGAACGATTTATTAATAAATTAAACGGCTCCCTCTGAATACATATAGGGCATTTTGGGTTAGGGCATGTCAGCGCCGGTAGCCTGTTACTTTTAATAGCGATCCCAACTGCACTATTTAGTATTTGACGCAAATTACAGAGGAACAAAGCTGAAATGCCAGAGATTAATTATATGCGTTATATACATTGATATACAAAAAACCCAAGATGCACAATCAACGTCTAAAAAACGTCCTCAAAAAATGAGCGCAACATTCTAAATTGTGCGCTCATTTCAAATAGTCTCGCGTCGCTCGCGTCTGGGAGCAGTTGTCAAAAATGTCAAAGTGTTCTGTGAGAAATTGTAAAAATATTACGTCAAGAAGGCTAAAAAAGGATGGGATATCGTATTTTCGGTAAGTAAAAAACTTTATTGATTAGTTTTTGTTGTTTTTATGACTGATTATAACAAGCAATGTGTTATTTTTATTTATTTTTTCTAAAAACTTCATTCAACGCACAAACTTCTATACGGCCAACTTCAATGGCTGCTTGTTCAGTGTTAGAACAACGCATTACAGTCTTCTTTTTATTTTAGTCGCATTATAAAAATGACCCTGTTCTAATAAGTGGAGTCGATGTTATTTATTTGTGTTTTTTTTTATAAATAAATTTATGTACTTTTGAACTTTTTTTGTGTGTAGTTTTTGACAAATATATTTACGCTATATAAAGTGTAGGTCAGGAGGTAGCCAATTTAAATTTTTTTTTAATTTAAAGAAAAACTTTTTAACCGGATTGAAGTTATGTATTATTATAAATTTACAACTATTTAACATCCAACACCTTTTGTCTTCAGTCACCGTGACCACGCACGCTGTAAAGCACGCGAAACGTGGGATAAATTTAAAATTATGTTAAATAGTTGTAAATAAAAAAGTTATGTTCGACTTCACTCAATACCTTGTCCTACCGACCACGGTCGGTCGTAAAATTTTATTGCTTTAAGTACACTGCGTTGTAATAACAACCTTAAACAATTTGCGTAAGGTTGATTTTGCAATAATATATGCTTGTAACTTATAGAAAGAGACAGAAATAGTGTTTCGGGACACTTTCGAGCGTTACTTTTATTCGAGACTGTGCATCTTGGGTTTTTTGTATATCAATGGTTATATAGTTCGAATCTTACATCGCCTAAAATCCTGTACAAGAAAATTTCCTGAAAAGGCAAATTTCAATTTTAATCCAGGTCCACCCTATAGTGCAATCAACATTACTAATATCTCCTTCAATTCTGAGCAAGTTAACTAATTATCTTCAGATTTTCGTCAATTATTTTACCTGACTATAGGTGTACCATTAAAAACGTCAAGGCAAAGTCGGGTGATGAGGCGTGACAGAAACTAACCCGACCCCAGAAAATTAATTTAAAAATCTATTTTCGTTGATTGTACTTACATATGAATATTGAAGTGTATTTTTTTTTTTGGAATTCAAAACTAATTACGCCATCTTTTAATTTCACTTGCCAACATTGCGTAGTATTTTTTTAACACGGTCGAATAGTTGGAATAGAAAAAACATCTAGGGTGCATAAAATATTTTTTACTTTTTTGAATGGCTTTTATAAAAGTAATTTTCTATATTACATTTCTTTGTTTCACCTATCACCCGATATCGAGGCTTGACTTATGGGTCACCTATATATATGTATTTTCCGCTGATAGAATGGCCGTCAAACTTTGTTTTAATGTAAATAGTTATATTATGAATCAAAATAGTATTAACACGTTCGTTGCATTACGAGATCTATCAGATCTCTTGCAGGACTTTTGTATTGTGCGTTGAACATAATCGTGTTTTTTCACTCCTTGCGGGAGGATGTAACTTGTAAAGTTCTTTAAGGATGAGCAGGACAAATATACATATTTGCTTCGTACTTAAAGCTGAATTCAAGGACTTTAAAAAATAAATTACAGATGGATTAGGTCCCTAACGCACAGTACTGTAATTGTTTTAATTCCTTGCGTTAGGAGATATGTCGGTACTCGTGAAATCGTACGCCTCGTAGACGCAAGAGATGGAGGATGGGATTTTTAGTGTTGTCCTAGAATCGACATTCGGGAAGTCGCGGGCACGTTTTGGAAATAACACTCGCGTATATATCAGCGTGTTGATTATTTTTGATAAACAATGAGTGATTAAGTTTAAAAGAAAAAAGTGTAAAAAATCTATTTTATTGGTGAGGTTTCTAACAAAAAATCAACGCCGGATTATACTGCTGCATCGTCCAGTAAAATATTTGTTTTGGAAAATGTTCAAATTTGCCCCCCATTGACTAATAATGACAGTGATTCTGATTATGAAATATTTAACGATAAACCTTTTTCGTTGGAGCACACGCAGTTAAACAGCACTGACGCTTCTAAAAAAACTAAACGAATTGTTACCATTTGCGCGTAATGTGCAAGCAATCAATGTGCTTACCATGTTTTAATGAAAAACACTTTGCATAATTAATAAAACTTTTAGAATCGATAACTGAGATATTATTTTATTCCCATCACTACTTACTACACATATTGAACTATCTTCGGGTGCGGTACGAGATACAATCGATATCTAATTTTTTAATTTTTTGTTATTTGTAGTTTATTCAAATGTTGTAACTGCGTGCGAACCTAGCAAAATATAAAGCAATTAGCTATCTTTCACCCACAAAAAATTCAAAATATATGTCATTGTTTTTTTGGAAGATATAAATTATTTTCAAAAGTGTATTTTTAGGAGACTGATTAGGTCTCAAACGCACCAGAGGATAGGCTTGTTACGAGATCTTTTAGGTCTCCAACGCACCAGCTGAAAGTTCTTTAAAAATGATGGCGCAGTGAACGTGTTAAGCAATTTTTGAAACATGCATAGTGCATTGTATACTGTATTTTAAAGCTATTGTAAAATGTTTATTGAAATTCAAAAATAAGTCTCGATGTTATTTGTATAATATAATGTACCAAGCTCTTCGTGAAGAATATCCTTTGTATAGAAAAAATGTTTTCTAAATAATTCATGTCTAATTAATGTCTGGTATGACCCTATGTGAATTTAATAAAACCTTTTTTAAATTACGTGTTTTATTTGTATAGCATGGTATAAGAATGACTCATGGTCTGCACTTTGTGTGTAAAAATATATCCCAAATAGCATTAGACGGAGTTTATAATTATACTGATCTGTGCCTATACATCAAACCGTGGCATTAGTACCGGGGAGTCGGCGTAAGTCTGGAACGCTTCTAGAAAAATATATCTTGACTCGTCAGTCTCGATATTCGGCGTAAAATCAGTCTTTACCTGTATGATGCATTAAGTAAGTTCACTGCTGTAATAAAAATTTACGTGTGTTGCGAAATGACATCAGAATTAAATTAAATGTCAATTATAGTTCCAAATATAATCAATTTTGCTGCGTTTTTGTCGCTGTAATTATTTATCCGAATACCAAATCGTAAAGTTATTTGAGAGCTGATCAGCTGTGAGATTGTATGATGACATTAACTGTTAGCCTTTGTTAGCACGTTATTATAACTTATAAAATATTTTGTTACTCATTAATTACAGTTGTATCTCTACACTTAAATTCTAAATAATAAACAATTGTAGTAAAAATAGCCAAAATAGTATTCAATTATGGTTATGTAATTTGTTAAACATATTTTTTTAACAAAATACATAACCTTATAAGAAGATAAACATATACTAGTATACGCGGTGTACACAATTGCGTTATATAGGTACGTATGTAGAGGTGCGCTGAATCTAACTTGTAATAATATTTAATTCTCAATAGTAATATACAAACTCTGACGGTAAAATATATTGGTTCATGATATAACCAGCTACGCATTTAGTTTTTACTGACCATTTTAATGTGTGAGCAACGCTTTTTACGCAAAAAAAATTCAGCAAATGATTATATTATACCAATCCGTTTCTCAAGTCAAAATCAATGTCAAACTTCTTACAGAAATGGTATGACAGCGCCTGAAATTATATTTAAGTTTGATTGATGTTCTAGAATCTGGGCTGCCATTGATGTAAGAGAAGTCTGAATCCCGTATGTCAAAAGTGTCAACTTTAGATCTGGGTTCTTTTTCTGATAGTAAATAAAACATATAAAAATAAAAATGTATATTTATTGCATATAAAAATACACTTTACATTCTCAATAGAGATAAATTTCTTATTTACATAAATACGTTAACAAAACAACACGGTAACATTATCTAAACGCACAAACTAAGAACTTTGTACTGCAGGTAAATAACGTAGAAAAATTTAGGGGCATTGCAACAAGACTAGAAATTTATCAACATTTAACCAATCTAAACTATACTTAAATCGAAACAGATAAAGGGGTAAACATATTATGTTTTGTTTTCAAAAATGATAGCCATATGGCACTTATTGACGAAGGTTCTAATCACAAAAGTATCACTACCCATAAAATCTAATTATTGCTGTAAAATTGCACCTATTTTTTTATTAGTATTTAGTCTCATTCGATATGTTGTCCATCTTTCCATTTCTTCTTTGACCGTTCGAAGGCCTCCCGTATACATGATCTGAGGAAAACACATCACTATTAGATATTTGTTTAAGTGTTTAATGTAATAATCCACAGGTTTTTAAATAAATTATATTTTTTTTTATTCCATATCATTATTCTATCTTTACAGTAATTACTAATTCGATAGAACGACACAATATTTATACCCACACCAATTAACCTAGATAAAAAACATTAAAAAAAATATATTTATATACCTAAATCTTATCTTTATATATATAATTCTTCTGTGAGTGTGTATGTCACTGAACTTCTCTCAAACGACTGGACCGATTTTGATGAAATTTTTTGTGTGTGTTCAAGGGGATCTGGGAATGGTTTAGATTCACAAATCAGCCCGGCAGATGGCACTGCAGTTGGTACTTTCATACTTTGCTTAATATCCTAATCGCTTTAAATATCATGCAGGACAACGTCTGTGGGGTCCACTAGTAACTAATAATATAGGAAGTAACTCTTGTGAACTCAGCCAGTGTACAATCAAATAGGTCTACCTTAACATAAATTCTATTTATTATATTTATTGCTCGCGTGAGTGGTGCTTCGCTAACCAAGTTGGAATGTGCGCGCGGTACATCCAAAAGTTGAGACTTCCGCCTCAGGTTTCTACTTGGTACCCGTAGACTCAGTCTCTCCATTATATCCAGATTATGTATCCGACCCGTAAGTATCTTAAATATATACACTGACAAGGCTAGCTCTCTTCTAATATATCTAAATTCAATTTTACACGAGCATTAAATACTAATAATTTATGATGTGTATGTGTGAAGGTGTGCGTTCTTATGTGGTTTTAAAAATCCATTCGATTTGTTTATTTCCTTCGAAAATACGCGTTTGGGGATAATAGATTTATTTACAATACAATCTAATTTTGAGCATAGGCTGTACCAAAATCCCCTATTTTACAAAATTGAAGTTAAATATTTTAAGCAATTCCAGGAAGTCATATGTTTGTATAAAGTATAAACCATAGAAATGTCAAAATTACTACAGAAAAAAATTGTATGACAGCTCTTGAAACTAGATTTAAGTTTGACTGACGTTCTAGTATCCGGGCCCAAGTCGTATGTCTAAGTGTTAGTAGTCTTAAATCGTAAAAAATCCTCGTGATACTTGTCAAAATTTTAAAAATAAAGGTACTTTATGAATTTCTCTTGAATAGATTCAAGGCTATGTATAATGAGGTGACCAGTTTAACATATTTGATAGAAAATACATTAAAAATCTAAGGAAATTAAGAAACCAAAAAATACTTTAAACATTTATATCAAATTTAGTTTAGAGACGATTTTTAGAATCCTTGATTAAAGATTACAATTTACCTGAATAACGACTGATGCAGGATGTAGGCGGAAACGTGTCCTGCGTCCACATAACGCACTTCCACCCCTGGCCAGATCTCCTCTAAGGCCCCAACGTCCTCTCTCGGTACGTACGCGTCGTGTTTTGCGCACACAGCTGAAACGTATACGGAAAGGTATTGTACGCCTTTTCAACTAAGTTTTAACGTAATAATATCAATTTTATTATTGATGTGACTTATAAAATAAGTTCCTTGCTCAAAATAAGATAACAATTTTTTTACGTACATATTTCTATTGGAGTGAATTTGGGTAAGATTTAGACCCAAGAGTGCGTCAAAATTTTATTGGAATCAGACATACAGGAGTCATAAGTCTCGACACTGACCTTTAGTTGACTGATCTTAAGTGATCATTATCTTTAATAATCTGTTCTAGATGCAGTAAATGCGGGTATGCCCGCATTTATCACGTACCTTAGACAGGGTGACGCGCTTGCATGCCTACTGTTCAACTTAGCATTGGAGAAATGCATTAGAGATGCCGAACTAGAAGTCAGAGGAGATGCAGACGACCTGGATCTAGTCAGGCGAAACAAAAACCCTCCTTATTTTTGAGCGGAAGATTCTTCGAAGAATCTTTGGTCCTGTTTGCGACGACGGTGTTTGGCGTATTCGCTACGATAAAGAACTTTATAACATCCTTGACGCCAACATCGTCCAATTCATAATGTACAACAGGCCCAAGTGATTGGGATGTGCACCGAAGCACTGGATAGATTGCTATGGGCGAACTATACTTTAGAGGCTAATTCCCACAAGGGGCTGTATAACCATTGATGATGAATTTGTTCTAGAAGATAACATTTACAGAGAGAAACGTTTCTTACTTCACTCACCTATGATCAGCGAAGTGTCAAAGGGCACAGAGAAATTGCTCAAGTGCGTACATTCATCCATTATCCCTCTCATAAATTGAAGTGCCTCTCTGTCCCTCCAATGTATTTTTCCAATATCTATCTTTTTCCCACTTGATTTCATGAAAGGCAGATTAACCCATAGATCCGAGGTAAGATCTGATACGTTCCATGATTTTCTCTCCGGCTTTGGTTTATCTATGATTTCTTCAGATACAGTGTTGCTTGTTAAGATTTTTGACTCTGTTTTCGAGTCTGTAGAATTAGGTTTAGGAACATCGCATTTGGTTTCTGAAATTAAAAAAAGGTACATTTTATATGAAATTAGTCTCGAGAAATTTTTGCATATGTAGTGGTGTGTATATTACTCAGATCTTAGAGCGCGTTTCCACTATATCGTTCTGGCCTATACAAAAATGTTTCGATATCCTAACATTACTATTTAATATTATACTTATCCCTAGCAACACTCTGATTTTTTGTTATCAATAAAAACAAGTTTTTATTTAAAAAAAAGGTTTTGACTTTATAAAAAAAGGTGTGTGCGCGATTCACACACGATAGAAGTGAAACTTCAAAGAGGAGAGACCGATATATATTTTTTTTCCTTTCATCTAGGTTTTTAAAACTCCGGGGGGTCTACGGGGGGTCAAAATTTATTTTTGGCCTAGGACGCACCGTTTCCGAGATATTTCAATCTAAAGCAAAAAATCGTCACTTGATAGTGGAAAGTGGAAACACGCACAAAACCAGAATAAACCAGTTTACGCTGTCCGCAGGTGCCACGTGCAGTCCGGCGTCAGTCGCTTGGTACTGTTAGAACATAAAGCACACATTTCATTCAAAAATTATAATTATTACGTTAATTGTTAAATTTTGTATTTGTTGATTGTTGTTATTGTTTGTTATTATTGTTATAATATTTGTTGAAGTGTTTAATTTGTGTGTAAGTGTTGCAACTTTATATTGTTAATTAAAAATGGCTCCAGTGTTAAAACATGGTCGAGGCAAGCCTTTGACTTCTCAAACTAAAGAAGTTTTGTACTGTTTGTACAAATATTTCGAAAATGAGTGTAATAACAACCCGAGCAGTATTATGACTCCCACTCAATTAGTTGCTAAATCAACGGGAATTTCAATAGCATCCGTCAGAAAGGTAGTATCAGAAAGCAAATGTCGACCTTCAGATCAGGAAGTAACATTTAAATCTCCTAAAAAGAAACCGAATCGTAAACCTACAATAGTAATCGATAACTTTGATCAGCAAGTTATCAGAAGAACAATTCATGACTTCCACATCACAAATAAAGAAATTCCCACTTTGAAAACTTTGCACGCAAAATTAAAAGAAGATATCGATTATAAAGGTTGTGTCAGCACGTTACGAAAACACGTCATGTCATTAGGTTTTAATTGGAAGCAAACAGAAGATAACCGGAAACTTCTTATGGAAAAACACGAAATTAGATACTTGCGAATTAATTATTTGATGAAAATTGCTGAATATCGTGAACAACGCCGACCAATTGTTTACACCGACGAAACATATATACATACATCACATACCCTCTCGAAATCTTGGTCAGATGGAAGCACTTCAGGTTTGAAGCAACATATATCGAAAGGCAACCGCTTAATCATTGTTCATGCCGGTGGTATGGATGGCTTTATACCAAATGCATTGCTTATGTTTAAAGCCAACCAAAAAAGTGGAGATTACCACGACAATATGAACTATGACAACTATTCAAGGTGGATTCAAACTCAATTAATACCCAACTTACAACCAAATAGTGTTGTTGTTGTTGACAACGCACCATATCATAACTCAATACAAAATCCTGCACCGAATAGTAATTCTAGAAAACAGCAAATGATTGACTGGCTGACATTGCGAAACATTGAGCATTCATCCACGTTGCTTAAGCCTCAATTATATGAACTGATTCTGCAAAACAAGGCGAGATTTGTAGAGTACAAGATAGACGAAATATTACGACAGCACGGTCATACTGTGCTGCGTTTACCACCATACCATCCGGAGTTTAATCCTATAGAAAATATATGGGGGGATAGTGAAAACATATGTCGCAAAAAAAGAATGTCGCAATGAATATGAAGGTTATAATGTCATTAGCTGAAGAAAAAATGAACGCCATAACTGTAGAGGAATGGAGAAAAGTTTGTCTGCATGCTATTGAGGAGGAAAACAAATATCAGGGTAGAGACGCAGCTTTAGACACAATATCAGAACGAATCATAATTAATTTAAATAATTCATCTGATGAAAGCGAGGATGGGGATGATTGTGATATGCCTGGGGTTGATGAATTATTAGAATAAAACATTTATGGCCGGAGAACACCTAATTCATACACGTCTTCACTGAAGTGAAAACCGGCATTCACTGCTTGTAATATTTGGAACTGGCTTATCTGCCTCATACAGTTCCATAGATTACAATGCAGTGGATACACATTTTCACGTCCGTATTAGTACGTAGTGCGTATGCGTAGACGTGTACGCATTTGGTGTGCTCCAGCCACAAACGTATATTACCTTTAAAAAAATAAAAACTAAAAATAAAATGTTGTTTTTTTTTATTTGCTGACCATACACTACTACAAACGCAAAAATTTCTCCAAGCTAATTTACCTGTATATGACGACAAATACCGTTTTGTTTAATGGTTTTAATTATTTTTGTAATTTATTTCGCAACCTAACTAGTAGCGATACATAGCAGTTTTCGGGACATAAAATAAAAAAGATATCTGCGCGCTGGACGAATTCATTAAATCGTAAAACGTTCCATTGGTAGCTCAATCCGTGATAAACACATTAAAATACAGTGTGTTAGGATTTTCAAAAAAATAATGTAATTATTTTTTATATTTATCTATGTTATTATATATAAGCATTATGTTTGTGCACGCTGTCCGCACCTATCGATAATAGGAACTAAAGTTCTAGTTGTAGTGTATTTGTTTCATTTTTCTTCTTATGTTGGTGTGACTATTAATAAGCCAAATCAAACAAACGAATAACACTTACCAACTTTACATTTCAAGAGCACCTCCCTTATTTTAGCTTCAGTCAATTTATTTATAATCTCAATATCCTGGGAGTCCAACTCAAATTTCTCATCCGACGTCAACTTATCATAAAGTTTCTGACTAATTTTCTCCTCTTCTAACAATATTTTTAACTTTTCATTTAAATTCTCTTTTTGAGCAAAAGACTCGTTTTCTATAGGCACTTTCCTTTTTTCTTTAATTTTAGAAATGGTTTTTTCTTTAAACGTTATATCGACAGGATAATTTGGCTCCAGATTAACCGTTTTTACTATTGGGTCTTCTGTCTGTGTGTCCATTCTTTGTGAGTATGTTTGAGCAAACTTCTTTCCCGCCAAAAAGGCCTCGTCTACAATAGTAACCATTTTTGATAGCTTTTCCCTGTATGTACCATCAGATAAATATTGGTCTTCGAGTAAATCCCAATTAATTGAATGTGACATTACACCCTGAATTGAAGGAAATATAGCAAAATAGTGAACGAATGAATTAATTCTTGTACATGTACCACGATGTATTTAAAAAATTGTTACGCCATGGCTATCAAACTATTCAATCACATTCCTAGAAGTTATAGATCACTGCCGTGTGATGCTTTCAAGGAGAAGGTCATTAAATATTTAAAGGCAAGATGTATTAATATTGTAGGTCAGTATTTAAACCATAAGTTTTATCAAAAACTATAAATATCTTAACTGTTCTTACTAATATGATGACGATGATGTTAATTAATATGACATTTACATGCCTATTTTTATATGGCTGATTGTGCAGTTTTTTGTAATTAATCAATCTGAATTTACCACTTTCTTTGCAAATAAACGATTTATTTTTATTATCTTTGCTGAACAATGGGTGTACCGGTCTAAGCAAGACATTAAACATTTTAATGAAAAATGGCGTATTAACAGTTCTTGTGAATCCAAAGTCAAAATCTTTCATCATCATCTATATATATAAAAATGAAACCCGTTTTCCGTTGTCACGACATAACATGAAAACGGCTTGACCGATTTGTCTGATTTTTTTTAATAATATTCCTTGAAAAATTTAAAAAAATCGAGTGAAACAGTCTAAAAACAACACTATTCTATATTCCCATACAAAAGATTCGTAATAAATAATAATACTTAAAAGTCAATTTGAACTTTAATACCATATCATAAAGTTCAAGTGTTAGTGGAGGGGTTCCGGGAAGGTAAATTTTTATTTTTTGACATAATGTATTTGTTGTCTTATCAACTTTCTTTTTTTTATCTTACTAGCTAGACCGGTGTCCTGAATAGCAGAATAAGTATTTAAAAGTAAGTAGTATTTTAAAGCTAGTCTATTATATTAATTTAGACTTCAAACCTGTAAAAACACAGCAGAGGCAGTAGACCACGATAAACAAGGAACTAATACTAGTGGTTTCGGCCAATTTGTGGCAGCCAGAGAGGCCATCTGAAATTGTACAGAAATCAATAACAAAACTGTAAATACCTGTAGAAACAAATGCGTTATAAAAATAGACTTTTTAATGACGAGAGCGCCTAAGAGCGATTTATACTTTCTCGTTAATGATATAATAAATTATTAAACCAAAATTATATATTACAGCTTTCTTAATTTCAGAAGAAAAATTAGATTTTAATTGAAATAAATTAATGTTGTATTTTTTACAAATTTTGAGAAAAACTAAAAATGTTAACTCAAAAATGGTTCACTTTTGCATACTGCATATATATCACAAATAGTCACCCTATCACCTCTTTACGGGCATACGACAAATTACCAATTATCCTGTATAATGCATACTAGCTTGTATTTCCGCAACTTCGATTGCGAAAGTATATATCTCACGGGATTGATACTTTAACCGCCATATATGTGGTGGGGGCAGTAATTTTGATTCCCACTGGACTCGTTTTTGTCTCTAAACTTAAACTTTCGTTAGGTCTAACTAGTAGTTATTGTTTTATTAAAATAAAACATAAAAGAATATAATAATCCAGCACCATAAAGATTTAATTACAATTTTAAGATAAGTGAAATACCAACATGTCCACCCATTGATAATCCGGTGACTCCAAGCGGGCCCAGACCATTACGCTCACACCAATGAAAAAGAACCAACGATTCAAGAATTAAACAACCGCCCATCACGAAAATGTCCGACACATTATGTAAGGAAGAACGCCTGGAAGTCACACATTGAAAAGGAGAAGTATTTAAAAAACTGAATTAAATCCCAATGCATTGTTTTCCTACAAATCCTACATGTAATTAGCTAGTAGTACTAGTAGAGATGTGTTGGCCTAGTGGCTTTAGCATGCGACTCTCATCCCTGAGGTCGTAGGTTCGATCCCCGGCTGTACACCAATAGACATTCTATCAATGTGCGCATAACATTCGCTCGAACGGTGAAGGAAAACATCGTGAGCAAACCGGCTTGCCTTAGAGCCAAAAAGTCGACGGCGTGCGTCAGGCACAGGAGGCCGATCCCCTACTTGCCTATTAGATTAACAAATAATCATGAAACAGATACAGAAATCTGAGGCCCAGAACTTAAAAGGTTGTAGCGCCACTGATTATTATTATTAATTAGCTAGTTGTAAAGTAAATTGCAATAACGTCTTTATGTGCTCGGGTTTAGGTATATTTTACAATGCACAACTTTATATTGCTTAGACGGCAAACCAAAGTCCAATGTGGGTGGCATATCATCCTGGAGTATAATAATATAAAGGTGAATTGGTTGGGTTAGTGATCTAAACCATAAGTATACTTTGATTGCTAAAATCTATTCAATTCTTTTATTTTTGGTATTAGTGTAATTTACATGCCTTGCACAATACACCTTAATACAAGCAGTAAAGACGTCATAATAATAAATCAATATTGCTAATAAGGGTGCAATTTAAGCAAAATATAATATTGAATTTACATTGATTCTTGAATAAACTGTACATCCCATATTTTGAGTAGATATTAGTATTATTAGAATTAAATTATGAAAACAGAAATAATACAACAAAAACAATTTATGTATATAAAAAAGGGTACAAAGTATGCTAGTAAGGAAAATTATAGCTTACACTTGATCAGTTGGTTTGCGGAGGCCATAAAATGGATTTTCTAATATGATACCACCAATGCCGGCTTCTTTTAGCAATGGTTTGACCATTAAATTTCTTCTTCTCCAGAAATACTGTAATTTTAATGTAAGATAGTATAGTAGTGTATAAGGTATATTATAATTAATATGATAAGTCTTCATTACAACTCAGAAGCAAATGGTTATCCTATTTTAAGTTGAACTTACCACTGTTGAAAAGAATAACTTCAAAAATACCTACATGGTCACCAGTACCAGCAAGATGTAAACAGACAGGTTTGCATGAGGATTCTGGCCAATGATTAGGTAATAACATTTGAAAATGTGCCTTTTGTGCAATTTTTGGGACTATACCAGGTAAATGTCTTTCCATTGGAGTAACAAAGTAGCCCTCCAGAAGACGACAATCTGACAGGTTTTGTTCCTAAAAATAAATGGTAATAATAATATAATAGAAAAGATGAAAGTGAATAATATTATATTTCTTATAAATATATAAATTTTTAAAACATAAGCTAAATTGACACCATTCGTCTTATTATATAACACAATATTTTAAACAAACCTTGGTAATTGTTACAGGGTAATCTTTTTCTACCAATTTAAAGCATTCATCTCGATTGGAGACAACTTTTCTAAACTCAAATAACCTAAAAATAAAAGTTTTAAATTATTTTTGCCTTAAGATATTCTTAACTTTGGATAAGTCTAATATATTCTATAAATATATATATAGGAAGTTTCATACAAGTATCTTAGCTTAAGAAGCTTACCTACGAAGGTTTTCTGGTTTTCCCCAACCTTTCGTGAAAAATTTTGTGATTAGTATACTACGGTAAACTGCATCTAATTTACTAGTGGACATTTTTCGTGGAATGGGCGGATTGATATGTGGTGTTTTATGTTAAATTGTAATTAGAATTTGCGTTGTTCATTATCCGTCAATACATTTCTAAAAAAATCACAAGGTTTAGACATTAGTTTGTCATGTAACATGTAAACTCCGACAGAGATATTTAAATATTGACAAAGTCAACAAAATCAGCTGTTTACTACTGTCTAACTTTCCATTGGCTATAGCGAGTGATTGATTAAACTTCGTTCAAAAACATGTAATGTCATAGATAAAGGTTAAAGTCACTTACAAACGTATTTTTTGGGCGGTTTGATTCAAATTAAACATTATCAAATTTTATTCAAAGTGAAATCAATAAATTAACAAGGAAATAACATGTGGGCAGAGCATCTTAAATAATGACTATTTAAACGATTATTGCCTTTTTCGTTATTTACGACTTAATGCTATTTAATTGTTTTTGCTTGATTACTATGAATAAAAAAAGACCATTTCTGATTTTATATGTAGATATTTTTTAATTTAAAATATATTTTTAAGTAGATAGTGATAATAAATGGGTAAGGATGGAGATACACAGAGATTTCAAGAAGCGAAATATTGCACTACCATGCATGTATTATAAATAAAGAATTTTTGTATAGTATAGGCAAGTGTTTGAGGCTTAAGGGACAGAGAAGCGGTAGAGGAGAAGAAAGTAGCCGCTCCTTGGGGTTGAATTGGACTAGATTTAGTCGACACCAGTCCTAGACTGCTGAGTTTCGACTGAGAAAGTTTGTTCCTGTATTGATCGACAACAGCCCATGAAATACCCGCACGGTCAGTGGTAAGAGCTAAATTGCAGCATATCATTGATTTGCAGAACATACAGGGTCGGGGATAGGACACAGCCTTGTGGCAAAATCTAGCGACTGGATCAATCTCAAAAGGTATTTTATTTCTTCTACACCTTCTAGAAGGCTGTCTTTCCTATTATCTCCTTAATAAATTTAATTTCAAATTATTGCAAGACTTTAAGCTACAGGCAAGTAAACTCAAACTCAAACTCAAAATATCTTTATTCAAGTAGGTAACCAAGTACACTTTTGAATCGTCAAGTTAAATTAATCGTAAATTTACATTTACTACCAGTTCGCAAGTCAAGGGCGTAGAGCGGGTAAGAAGAACTGGCAAGAAACTTTCCGCCACTCTTTTTAATCGCCAAGTATTGTCATACAAATTGTTTGAACTGGAGCAATTCAATCCCAAGGATTAGGATCATTTAATTTTAACATAACAATAAACATTTAATAGTAGTAAAGTAAAAAAAGGCCTAGACAATACCTAAAGAGCAATAAGAACAGGTGGACAACAAGGCTGATAAAAAAGCTTACGTAATCAGATCGTGGGATGTATGAATCAGTTACTACCTGAGAACTATATTCTAAGCTCCTTAATTATATGTAAATTTTGATATTTAGATCATTATCCCGCGATCGATTTAGAACGTCTTCCATTTAAATGGCTTTCCCATTTTGGTAGAGATGAATGTTTTGAGTTTTCTATTTTTTTTTTGAGTAGAAATATCAGCACAATCCCATGCTAGACCCACTATTGCATCTATGATAATTATAGCCTCAATTATTCATTAATAAAATAAAATATGTTCCAATGTATGCAAATAATTTAATGTAATTTAGTAGTTGGGTTTCTTTTAATATATTACCTATTTTTACATAATTACCTACGAATTAATAATTATTTTTTTAAAGCAAGTACCAAGTAGTACTTAGTAAGGTTGTAGTAGGTTAGGCCAACAAATATACGTCTGGTACATAGAGAAATACGGCAATTTTTTTTTCAAAGATTAATAAAAAATTACAATTGAGTACGGTAAAACCTACTAAATATAGCATTTTTAGAAAATTACATCATAATTTAGTTTGACGCTCATTTGCTTCTTCTACCACCATATTTAAATTTTAAAGAACAAACTATCTGGCAACTAACCGTAAACTTCTATTAGAATAAATTTAAAATCAACAGTCGTAAGATCCGTGTCGAAAATCATTCATGGATATAGATCAAAATTCAAATGATTGCAATAAATTAAATATTATGTCAAATTTTGGCGGGAAGTGGTGATGCGATTTTTTTGCGTGGGCGCTTTTAAGTATAAGGATAGGAGACATATGTTGAATTGCGTTGTGTTTTCCTTCATTGCAACACGGACAAACCGATGTAAGTGATCAGTGAGGTTTTATACGACAAAAAATTATTTAAAATTTGGTATCAGATAAGTGAAGTGACTTTTTACAATTATTTTGTTGAAGTTAGAAAGTAATGAAATTTAGACAGTAGTTATTACGGTAGTACTTTTTAATATTCTATGAAATTATATTCTAAGATTGCTACATAATATTTCTTATTTAAATAAAAGGCCAGATATTAAAATTTTATGAGCACATTATATACTAAAAATAATGGTTTGCCAATTTTATAAAATAAGTATTATTTCATAACTCGATGCAATCACTTGACCGATCATCTTACCGTTACCCTTGACCTAAAGATGAAATTTAACGAACCTATAAAATAAAATACACACTAGAGTAACATAATATATCACAAGTTGATTAGTTTTGGAATTAATTACTATATTTAAATTTACTATTTATGTATTATGATATTTTATATGTAAACATTATAATAATATAAATATAATGGATGACCCACGCAGTCAAATAAGTTTAATTGTATGTGGATTTAGAGAAATTTAATGCTACCTATTTTATGATAATTTTCCTCGTCTGTGTTTTTTTCAGATGATAAGAAAAGGTTTATTTATAGCACCTTTGGTGCTTTTAGCTTTCGCTTGGGGAGTTGAAGGTAAGTAAATTAAATTATGTTTTTTTATATAGCATAGTATATGCCCTCACCAACCCAATAAATTTTTGACATACACGGGAGTCATAGTTCCGCAGTCCGCTCTGAATCTTACGGCAGGATAAGAAACGAGACTGAGCGCTAAGCCAAACTCTAGTATGTCAAAGTCAAAGTCAAATCATTTATTTCAATTAGACCACCTAAAATGGCACTTTTGAACGTCAAACCAAATACAAAGAAGATTCTAGTTGCCCCTTCCAAAAGGTAGTTTCGTGTGGAGAAGAATGGGCAAGAAACTCCACACTTACTCTTTTAAAATAGGTTTACAATATTTTGTTTACATTTGTTAAATAATTATATGTGAAGACAATGTACTCTTAGAATAAAACTACTATACTAAAAAAGTTAGTATACAATATGTTCCTCACATATTTACAAATATCGAAATCGTAGAATATTATACATTAAAGAGTAATAAAAAAAAATAAAAAAAACACAATAAGACAGTGTGTGAGATAAAATAAAATAATTACATTTTATATCAAAACTGTATTGCATTCTGACATACAAAGGTTCGGGTTACTGTCGTTTCTGATCTAACCTTTAAGGTAAGATCCTCGTCACAGTATCCATAAAGAGCGAAATAATTAAATAATATGTCTTCTCAATTTAAGATTTAAGAGCCATTAAAGTACATTGTTAATATATACTTTTTCTGATGGCATTCGTACAGTAATGTAAACGCCTAGAATTTGCAATTAATTATACATTCACGTAGGCCGATTCCGCGTGGTTATGCGATAAGTCAGTTTAACAAAAACATGTTTTTCATGCAATTTTATAGCAATCTAAATGACGAAATTAATCTAATAAGTGTATGGTAGTTACATAAAAATAAGAATAATATTTTTTTATACATTGTTCACTGAGACATCATTTGAACATTTCGATCTAGCCTAACTTAAGACTAATATGTAATTTAAGTATCACTTATTTACCAAAAAAATAAAATAATTTTAATCAAAAAAAATAGCATGTAAGTAGGTACAATGCCTCTCCGATATAAAAAATTAAGATTTAGTCATTCGGTCTACACACTATGACACTACGAATTATGATTTTGTAGAAACATTAACTATTAAAATTTACGAACTCTAAAAATATTATCATACAATAAACAAAATAATTAAAACATGTTATTAATCCATTAATTAAACTTGAGCTTTTAACTTCAGAAGGACAGAAGGTCCTATGTGGGCGAGTCATATATGGTCTGCAAGGTCCAAGCCTGTTTTGTTAACCGATGATGTATTCTGATTATGTAAATACGAACTATAAGATTTTTTATATGATTCATTGTTTTCAAGGCGTTGATTGAATAAGAAGAGAGAAAAAGAAGGATTCTTAATAACTCTTTTTGTTCTTCTAGTAAGGAATACTGATTTCTAGGGGTGTTTTTTATATTCATTTACCCCTAGGCTTTCATATTAAAATCATCACTGCAACCAATGAAACTACTAATTTATAAAAACGTTAAGGAATTAGGAAGGATTTGTAAGATAACGCAGATTTTCGAGTCCTATTATTAGAAGAATTGACTAATTCTATCCTATCCTCTTATGTAGAAAATATATAATAAAATGCGGAAACTAGAAAACAACCGTCCATATCGGTATAATACGTAATTTCCTAAAAACTTTAAATAACCTATTAAGATCCGCGTTATATACCTTCCACGGGCAATGTCGGTGTCCATGGGTGGCGGAACATTAGATGAACCTCCTGCCCGTTTGCCTCGTATTACATAAAAAAAAATATAATTTTACATCGGCTTTGTAACCGCGCCATCAAAAGTATTAGAATTTTTCTTATTATAGGGTTCTAGTAGTGTCACTGCTGCGACAAAAAATGCCTTTAGCCAGCATCAGTCTCGCACAAACTAGCATTTTCCCTAAATAGAAGAAAGACAATTCGTCATAGTCGTAGAATAGTGACGGATCTGACAAATAGTAAACTTTACAGGGCAGCCATTTTAAATAATAATGTTAGTGTTTTACAGTACAAAGAACAAAGTGGGATAGTCAGATACGACTATTACGTAAAAGAGCATGTTCATGGAATAACGTCGGCTGTAACCTCGCGTCACTATTATGTCCACAGAAAAATGTAGTATAGTCACATACACACACATACAACTTGAAAATTAAAATCTTTTTAAATATAATATGAACTACATACATAGATTAATGTGTGTATTATCAGATAGCCAACCTAATTTCTTTGCAAATGAAATTTTAAAATTGATTTATAGTTTTGCGTGGAAAACTGACGGATAGTCAGTAACGATACTATAGTCATTGACTTCGGAATATTTGGTAACATAGAATAATGGCGCTTGTGTGGATACGTCGGGAGCGGGATGGGCAGCAGCCCGTCGTACAATGACGAGTAAGCACAAGCGTCATTTTTCTATGAGCGTCTATCAAATCCGTCACTTTACTGACTGATTAATTTGAAATTTAAAAGAGATGGAATTTTTTTTACTGTAGCCGTAAAATTTAATTAATGTAGTATCCAAATATGATAAAAAGTGGATTTTGGATTTTTTGCAGATCCGACATTGTTCTACGATCACGATACAATTATTTATTTATAGTAATATATAACTGTCACTTGTTTTTTTACGAAGTTTTTGTGAGAAAATGAATGACGATTACTATTAATATTATAAAAAAACCTAGTAATATCGTTCGTATGCATCACAACACGACAGACAAATATAAATCCCCCCCAAGGTGGCGTCAGCTTAACTATGTTTCTAATTGTGATATAGCCCAACGGTACTCCAACTACTACCCTCGGGGCTATACTGGCCGCAATCTATATGAACATGGCAGGTCCATATCAGATGACTTAGTACGTTGCGGACCAAACACATGCGGTGTGGGTGCACATTGCACGCACGGAAGTGTGCGGCCTGTGTGCGCTTGCCTCCCAGGCTACTCAGGAGATCCATTGTCACAGTGTGTCAAGATTGAGTGCGTTGGTAAGTTTATTTATTTATTTATTCACAAAACAATATAATAAGATCTACAAAATTAAAGAGCAGTGGTGGTCTAGTGGTCGTAGGTTCGATCCCCGGCTGTGCAATGGACTTTCTTTCTATGTGCGCATTTAACATTCGCTCGTACGGTGAAGGAAAACATCGTGAGGAAACCGACATGCCTAAGACCCAAAAAGTCGACGGCGTGTGTCAGGTGACGCTTAAATGATCGTGAAACAGATTCAGAAATCTGACGCCCAGACCTAAACAGGTTGTAGCGCCACTGATTTATTTATTTTACAAAATTAAACACATAAGATACACAATATCGCTATTATTAACTCACTCTGCGAACATACAAAGATGTCGTTAGATGTCAACAGCAGTCAGCAGTCGCAAACGTCTTTGTTTGGGGATCTGTGCAACAGACTGGTTCTGGCCCTTGGTCGGTAAGTAACTAATGAACTGATTATACATATATCGAAAACGCATACAGGAATTCATAACATTTTACATAACTCGACAATTCGAGTACCTTACAGTAGTCGTGGTTTTGCGAAAGAATGTAATGGAAAATCCTCGGCCAGTTGGACACTGACTGGCCAGAAAGCTAGCGACTGATGTCGAGATGTTGCATATATACTCTGCGATTTAAATAGGTGCATTGTCGCTAGTTTAATAAAATTAAACAACGCCGAAACTTGCTTTGATTTTCAGACAATAGTGAATGTCGCGGTCACCAATCGTGTGTCAACCAACACTGTATTAATCCTTGCGATGGGGCGTGTGGTACTCATGCTAACTGTGAGGTAAGCTTTAGCCATTTTTTTATTATTTAACGCTCGTACGAGTTGCGCGCGTGTAAAAAGGCGCGCCTATACGTGCCTACACGCGCTTCCAAGACGAGGTTATAGGTACGCGCGTAAAAGTCGCTAGTCTGTAGCCGCCTCATGTATTGAATATACAGTAAATGTTTATTCTTGTTCTAGAATAAGATAAATTTAATACTTTGTTTAGTATTCATTAAAACTAAATCTGTTCATTTATACTGTTTTAACTAAAAGCTGTCAAAAAACTAGCTCTCTTTCCCTCATAGAGTCACCACAGTTTGACAGAAAGAGACGAGAGAATTTAGCGAATATATTATATAAGACCGGGTATGATTTTGATGCTTATTATAATAATATTAATTATCATTTATTCGAATTAGATAACACAGATCCATTTAAGTTAGTACAACTTAAAGACTAATTTTAGTACCAACATCAACTTAAACAAAAAAAAGAATGTAAGAATGAAATAAAAAAATAAATAAACAGCTTTGGAGTACCTACACTTGTATCCCATCAGAAACTGTCTAACAATTTGTGACTGCCTCACAATCTGCGTCAAACTGATGCCGTTCTTTTCCCACAGATCCACGATTTAAGGTATTTTAAAGTGTTTTCTTTTCATAGGTTCGTCAACACGTGCCAGTATGCTCCTGTCCCGCTGGTTACACTGGAAACCCCTTCACAGCCTGCAGAATCGCTGATCCCGGTATTAATCTGTTATATAATAATCAGATAGTGTAGGAGCGCGTGATTCTTAACCGTGGTTGTATGTTCAAATGTTTTATACAGAGTCAGCCTCCTGCCCATTTGCCAAAAAGCGCTCATGTCAGAAGTGAAACTTCTTTGGAAAACTAATTTTTAACTCTTTTTCATATTTATACAAATCTAAAAAGGAAGATATGTTAGGAATTTAATGAATACTAGTGGACCCCACAGACGTTGTCCTGCATGATATTTAAAGCGATTAGGATATTAAGCAAAGTATGAAAGTACCGACTGCAGTGCCATCTGCCGGGCTGATTTGTGAATCTAAACCATTCCCAGATCCCCTTGAACACACACAAAAAATTTCATCAAAATCGGTCCAGTCGTTTGAGAGGAGTTCAGTCACATACACACGCACAGAAGAAATATATATATTAAGATGTGTCATTGAAATATTAAAAGTGTCGAAAATTACTACTGAAATTGAATATTGAAAATTGAATAATGAAAACACGTGGCATTTTAATTTACAATTCGTTACAATTTCAATAAATAATTTTGCATAAAATATAAAATACTAATATTTCGTATTTTCTCGCTACGAAATTTTAATTTTAAAAATATAATTTTTATATAAGGTAATTCACCCTTCTCACTCTCTCTCTTTTCTTCGACAAAAACGGTGCGCAAATTCGTGACGTTTTTTTAAAAATTTACCCTCATGCGCCTAAAGAAGTTACAAAAGTATTAAAGCTTTTGTAATTACAATGACCTGGGCATGACCTTTATGACTCTCTGAATCCGCCCTTACCTTGTACATCTGAGGTCAAAGGTAGTTCTACTGATTTTTTATCGTAAATAACATTTTCAGAGGAGGCCTGCCACCCATCTCCGTGCGGTTCCAACACCAAGTGCCACGTTGCCAATAACCAGGCCATATGTACCTGCCTTCCTGGATACCTTGTATGTAACTTCATAAATTCAATTTTAAACCTACATAATAATAATTAAAAATTGATAAATGGAAAATTAAAACAAATTTAAAAAGTTTGGCTTTGTGGCAGTGTACCTTGCTGACAGAATTTCCTCGTATTGCGATACTTATTCATTGAGCGAGGAAAGCACCTTCTCAGCGTCACCGGTACTATATACCAGGCGCCGACATATAACTTATTATTTACTATGTTATAATACATTAATATGTTTTACTAATAAAAAATCATCACATACAGGGTAGCCCCTTAACAGGCTGCCGACACGAGTGCGACTCGGACAGCGACTGTAACGCGCAACAATCGTGTCGCGACTTCAAATGTGTCAGCCCATGCAGCGATTGTGGAGTCAACGCCGACTGTGAGACTGTTTCCGCCCATCGCGCTATCTGCAAGTGTCCAAGAGTAAGTTTATATGTTTCTGTTTAATGTATGAAAGACAAGGTAAACAACTGCCGTAAACAACGAACAAGTATAAAGTTTCAACAAGCCAAAGACAAATTTGAATAACGATTTAAAAAAAATAAAATTAACATATAGGATTTTTATATCTTAGCGCTTTTTTAATTTACTAGTAGGTATAATATATAAGATCTGTCCCCGTTTGCACGGCTGGGCATTTATATCCTAAATATTGTATATCCTAAATTACTTAGGAATAATGTAGCATTCTAAAAAATTAATTGAAATGAAATCGTTATAAACATACCTTTCCCCTTTATAATATAAAAATAAATTAATACTTATGTTAAAAAAACAATTCCTTGTAATATGGTAATTACATGTAATTTTATTTATGTTAATTTAATTATGCAGTTCTTGCACTTTCCCTTTGGTAATTCTTATTCCGTACTACGCCTGGAGGCTTTGTCTAATCATTTAAACTACCTGATTTTATATGTTCTATGATGTGCTACGAAGTGTTTTTAAATAAATCATTCGTATAGGGCTACCACGGTGACCCGTATAGAATCTGCTCAGCGGAATGTACATCAGACAGCGAATGTCCCAGTTACAAACCCGCCTGTGTTTACAACGCATGCGTCAACCCGTGCACGAACGCTTGCGGTGTGAACGCAGATTGTAACTTACGCGGTGTGACGCCCGTATGTTCATGCCCTAAGACTATGACCGGAGATCCCTTCACATTTTGCAGGCCCTTCGAAGCACGTAAGTATATAACTATATTTTTCTGTAATTTTTGGCAATGCAGAATACATTATGAGATTTAATAAAAAGTCTAGTAAGATTAGATTAATAGTCATTCAAATAGTAAAATCTACGGTAATTATAGGCGATCTTTGCGAGCCCAACCCTTGCGGTGCAAACGCCAAATGTACACCAGGCCACGACCGTACGGGCGCTGAACGGCCCGTCTGTACTTGCCCTACTGGATACCGTGGAAACGCGCTTGTCTCTTGTGAAAAGGTAAATATATTTAAAAAACACACACTACCAGTGCCTACTTGACAGTATGAAAAATGTGTTATTGAGAGTTATCTGTATAAAACATAGCTATAAAAAGCTTGATGGGGTAAAATAATCTGTAGATAATAATTAATTTATCAAAAAAGTATTTTATAAAAATATTGATTTTTATACGTTACTCACGGGACACAAAACGGTCACAGATTAGTCGAATCAATTGTAAATAATGTCTGAATAACAATTAACGCAATAAAAACGTTTACGACGTGTTTACAAGCATAAGACTGATGCGACACCGTCTTGCATAGAAAAGCGTTTTAGCGTTATTAGTATTATAAATATTTAAGTTGAATTTTAAAGCAATGCTTAGCAGAATTAAAAATGTATAATTGTATAAGTTACAGTTACTAATGAAAAATCGGAAATGGTTTTAAAATAATTTCAAATAGCTCACTATGACAATTGCACTTAAATGCTAAATATAACTGTCCTAAGAATGATCACGGGTTGTTTTACTCATTCAAATTATTTCTATATGACATAGGTAAATATATTTTGAGGCTCTTTTATATATACCGTTATTATATAAGCCAGAGCCTAAAACTATTACCTAGAAGTTTCCATTAAAATTGGTTGTACAGTGAATTTCATTTACTACATTGACTACCTTGGTTGTAGCGAAGCTAAGGCGACGTTAAATCTAAATCCCTCGAATTGACTTACGTAGAAAATTCATATATAGCGACTTTGTAGCGCCGAGTATAGCGATTGCTTTTATTGAATCATTTGAAAAAATTCTATTCCCATTGCGACCAGAGTCGGCCGTCAAAGACACATATCTTTTGCATTGACTTACATAGAGTCAGCAAATGTGGAGACTTTTACCTTTTGTTTATAGATATTGGCTTATTAAAAAGCGCCTACGTCTCGGATTTTAATGTATGGTTCAGTTACAAAGTTAAATTCTGAGCAGGAACTGTGTACTCACTTCTATTACGTCATTTAGGTTTGCAGTGCCAGATCGATGTAATTACATATTTTGTTTTCAGGGTGAATGCGAGTTAGACTCGCAATGTGCCGACCACTTGGCGTGTGTGGGCTACGAGTGTGTCGACCCATGCCTTGGCAATACGCAGTGCGGCTCTGGTGCCGTTTGTATGGCCAGACGTCACATTGCTGTCTGCACTTGCCCGGGAGGTGAGATGGTTATAATGGACCAAAATGATTTTAAATTTTAATCGTTGCCTGATCGTAGAATTGTTTATCAAACGGTACACGGACATGGACGGTTGATGCAAAATCATTAACATGAAAAATGTCAACAAATAATAACAAAAAATATTATTGTTTTATTTATGACTGACTCAGTTTTGTGATATTTATAAAAAACAGCATCAAATACTTAGTTATTACGTAATATATTTGCCATAAATTTCTGATCTAAATCATCATGAGACAACAAAACAATATACCAGCTCTCATGGTGAATAGTGTAATCGAGTAACTAGGTATTAATTATTTTTGCAACTATTTCGTGATATCTTCTTTTGGTGCCTCTCAATTACTGGAGGTTAGACGTCAGTCTCGTGAAGCGTATCTTGTCCTGTGCCAGTTGCAGCAACTCTTCTGCAGTCGCTATACACATCCCCTCTCTAACGTAATTTAATCACTAATAATTGGCCGTAATGTAAAGTGACCAACCATTTCAGAAAATGATTAATTCTACGATTCGGTAACGACAAAATCATTTGTTAGTTTTCAATATTTATTCACAAAAATAAATACACTATTCTAACAGTACAAATCTAATATTCATGAACTATATTTCTTCATCAACAGATCATCACGGCGATGCCCTAGTGAACTGTTACCAAAGTCACTCCGAAGCCGTGTCAACCCGTTACTACAGATACAAGCGTAATGGAAATTTCACTCAAGAGTTGCCTCAAGTGCCAACGCTAGCTGCTAACTTAACTGAAGCGAAACTCGAAGCATCCCCAGAAAATCTGGAAACCGAGAAACAAAACTAATCTTGCCAATAATAATGCCCTTTTATTGAATAATCCTTTTGATGGTGTATTATAGATCCACTTCTCTTTAATGCAGGATCAAATAAATGAATTTTGTCAGAACTTGTTTTTATTATTTATTCATTGTGAATGTGTTTTTTTTCTTCGTTAATTGAGAATGTTAGATTCAATAGTTTTAACAATGCACGTCTCAACCTTGACTAACCTCTTCCTCGGCGATGACTTGCATATTAATATTATAACGTAAGGCACCTGCTAGGCACTGTATGGGTAATAAGAAAAGAACTTAGGTACAAAATACTACAAAAAAACTACGGGTTGCACTCCGGGAGTGCCGGCAGAAGTGAAAACTTGAATATTAACGTTGTGCATTTTTGATATTTTGGAATGGTTAGGGAATAATTTTGCACGAATTGCTTTAATTATCAGTATAAAAGTACTATTATTTATGTGGTAGAATACAATATTTATTTATTGCGCTATCGTACACAAACATGACAATTTATATTACATTAAATACGCCGCGCCAGCTGTATACCTACTCTCCATCCGTCTTATGAATTTTCGATCAGGTCACCTGACGCGAGTTTAAAATTTTTACCCATTCCAAAAAAAGTGTACAACGCCGCTAAAGAAGTTTTCACTTCAAAAAGTTATATTTTCAAAACTATAAAAGAATTGGATTATAAATTTGAAAACATTAAGAAGATTTCTCCAAGAACTTTTATTTTTATGAAAAGGTACATATGAGTAGGCGGTGGTGACGGTTAAAAAAGTTATCAAATACAAATCAAAAGCGAACGATGAAAATCATGTCGGTAAATTCAGAAACGAAAGTTTACTAGAATTACAAAAATGTACTAGATTTAGACATTCCTACTAAGTCAAGTTTCTGAAGCTCACTCTTACTGCTTACGTTTATTTATTTAACGAACAAAATGAGTCTATGCCAGATCCAGTGGCGAACCATAGGTATACTAGGGATGCGACATTCTGCATAAAAAATCGATTTTTTATTAATCGATAATTTTTTTAGCATGAAGAATCGATTATTTCCTAATTTTTGAATTAATTTCAAAATAAACACCCAACATACTTTATTTTTCATGGTTTTTTTAATTAAAAATAAACAATAGAAATTATAAACACAAATTAACGTTTAAGAATAATCAAAATCGAAATTAACTTAATCTCGTTTTGATAGATGGGACATTTCACGTGAAGCGGACAGGAAAAAAAAAGTGAGGTTCTGAAAATCGACCACATTCGGCTCATTTGTACTTCTAGTAGGTATGAATGTGTACGCAAAATATTTTTTTTGTATAGTGTATATTTACCAAGTTATAGGTTTCAAAAAATTGTCGTTGATTGGTACTACAATTTTTCGAAAGTAATTTTTCGAATATAACAAATCTACTATAAAATATTTTACATAGCGATACATATTAAAAATATACTGTTCTTTTTGACAGTAAAAAAAAATTTAAAAATTTAAAAAAAATTAATGGCCAAAACCGGAAGTAAACTTTTCAAACCAGAATTACAGTCACTTCGACCAATTTTTTTTTATTTTTTTTTCTTTCAAAATATAGCTTAAATGATAATGAAAGTACACTAGAAAATTTAAAATGGGATCTCTATTAGTTTAGGAGATAAGTTGAATAATATACACCCGCGTCGCAAGGGGCGTCATATGTAGCACTAGCTTAGATCGGTTGGTGTGCGTCAAATAAAATAGCTTGTATAAATTACTGTGATAAAATAGTTCAAACATAATAAAACAACATTGGTACAACACAAGAACTGTTTATTTTGTAATTTTAACAATTTTACAATGGGAATCTATGGCAGAACTGGTCCTCTTTACAAGAAGGCCTGTGGTTGTTGGAATGAAGCTGTGAAACTTTTTGGTTCCTGAAATGGTGACCGTAGACGCAAACCGGGGTTCCAAAAAAATTCTCTGACGCTCTATATCATCTTTAGAACAGAAATAAATGGCGGTTTGTTTTAAAGATGATTTTGCCCATTCATATAATCGCATTGGTGTTATAATTGCTTTACTTGGAGGTAACTGTAAACTTGCACGCACAGCTAAACGTTTCAGATTCCCCCCTAGACCATCGCATGGCCCCTTTCCGTGAGATGTTGCATGAAAATGCAACTCTGCATCTGCATTAAAATCTTCTTTGTAATAAAACAGATTCACAAAGTTAAATCTATTTTTAAAATGTTGGGAAGCCCCGTCAGTTATGTATATAATTTTTGATCCAACTATCGATTTTTCTAAAAGATGCTTGTGTAGTAGCTTTTGGAAAGCATAAAAAGTGGCTGTGTCATGCTTCAGGTCGTCAGAAATCATAACAATGCTTCCGTGTTTTACTTCATTACCGTCTCTGTAGTAAAAAACTGACGTTAGAAGCGTTGCCTGTGCATTATTCCAATGAAAGGATTGAGCAGCATCTTGGACAATAAAACTATAGTTTTCTGCAAAATCACATTGTACGAGAATTTGACCTTCATCGATAGTCTCCTTAAGAGTTTTAAAATAAACCGCCTGTTGCTCTGCAATGTAAGCATGAGGTTTCAAAAGGTCCAAAGCGTCACATAACTCATCTACAAAACTATCGGAAGATAAAAGTCGAGTAGATATCGTGTAGCGGTCTGTGCCATCCCATTTTTCAAACTGCACTTCTGTGACTTGATTGTTATCAAATTGTATTTTTAAATGCTCTCGAATTGCACTTAAGCCTGGACAAGAATTACAGCGTTCATTTGGCGGTGTCTTAGTAGTCATTAAATGACACGTCAGTGTTGGATTGGGACACATCATCTGGCGAAGGCAATCCTTATAAGATGAAAGTTGCATAGCAGACCCAGCTGTAAGATTAGCAATGTCTCCTCCGTTCAACATCAATTTCACGTTTTGATGGTAAGTACAAACACATACCATATGTGTTCCGGAGTCGCCTGCGAGGATACATTGTTTGGGTCTTAGTGTAAAAAACTTTGTTAAGCCTACCTTGATGTTAGGGTATTCATCTTTAAACCTCTGATAAAGTTCGTCAATGTTACAGAGAAGGAGCTGTTTCTGTATGTGCGTTCTTTTTCCATCGTCTAATTTAACAGATATAAAATCTTTTTTACCAGGCATTATGCGGCTAATGTCTTCTCGTAGATAAAATTTTTTTACCAAGTTTTCCGTCTCAGCTGGTAGTTTACGACCACCGCGTGGGTTCGGAGAGGATAAGATACCGAACTGATTGACAAGTTGTTTTGCTTTTCTTGCTTGTCGCCTGGACGTTCCAAATTCTTCTGCAAGTTTATTTTCACTCCATGACGTGGGTGCTATTGTTAATATCATAGTCTTCATAGAAGTAGAAGTAGAAGGATGATTGAATTTCTCTTTTAGCTGCTTTAAAATTTCTTCGTTTTCTATGGATGTGTCGGTTTGGGTGGAGATATGTTTAAACTTATCTTCGGGAATAAACGGTTCATCTTCAATGTTTTGCGAAGGTTCACTAGATGTTTGACTGCATTGCACAATGTCTTCATTAGCTACTGGAGGAGATTCAGTCAAAAGTCGTTTCCTGCAGGAGGCACATACGTAAAGATCTTGTGAAAAACTCCACTTTTGAGCTAAACATTTAGATATTTTCCTTAAATTTTTTAATTTTCGATGAAGTACCAAGTGAAATGGGTTAAAACATCGATCACCGTACGGCGCCATTAATAATAACAACTGTCACAAATTAAAACGTGCACAAGTCGCTGAGCGGTTAAAGCAACACTAAAGTTTAAATTACGAAACCGTTAGGCGTCATATTTCTATCTCTTTCTTGTAGATAGGTTTGACCGTTTGACTCTATCTGAGACAAAAAAGTACTACACGTTACTAACAGATGGCGCTATTAGTCACGTTTCGCAAATAATAAAACTTTTCTACTGCTCCAAAAACGTTTTTTTTTATAATATATTATTAACTTATATTTGTATTATGTAGTTATATTTATATTATATTATATTAATAAAACTTATTTCATATCATTAAATGAGGTTAAATATACGTTAAAACGATATAAAATATTAATAAAGTTGCAATATCGCGCAAACTGCTAAACCTTGCAAGCGCTACATATGACGCCCCTTGCGACGCGGGTGTATATTATTCAACTTATCTCCTAAACTAATAGAGATCCCATTTTAAATTTTCTAGTGTACTTTCATTATCATTTAAGCTATATTTTGAAAGAAAAAAAAATAAAAAAAAATTGGTCGAAGTGACTGTAATTCTGGTTTGAAAAGTTTACTTCCGGTTTTGGCCATTAATTTTTTTTAAATTTTTAAATTTTTTTTTACTGTCAAAAAGAACAGTATATTTTTAATATGTATCGCTATGTAAAATATTTTATAGTAGATTTGTTATATTCGAAAAATTACTTTCGAAAAATTGTAGTACCAATCAACGACAATTTTTTGAAACCTATAACTTGGTAAATATACACTATACAAAAAAAATATTTTGCGTACACATTCATACCTACTAGAAGTACAAATGAGCCGAATGTGGTCGATTTTCAGAACCTCACTTTTTTTTTCCTGTCCGCTTCACGTGAAATGTCCCAGATTTTAGGTGAAATTTTTGAGTAATTTTTGTTGTCTTTTTAATTGTATGTAATCTTGTGCTGCTGAATAAATTTATTTTACTTATAAATTATAGTGTTCCATTCAAACTTGAGTTTTTGTAAAATTAACTGGTTTATCATCCTTTCGATGTTGTACAAAAAAACATCAATGCATCGAGTATATCAATACATCTTCAAAGAATCGGATTCTATGTATCGCATTGTAAGCATCGATGTATATCGAATATCCCTAATAGTTCGAGGTCCGGGTTATAAAAGACCAGACATAATGTCGGGAGGTGGCAGATGAAAAATCGACTATGATTGATTTTCAATTATAAAAATAATCGATTATTTTAAATATAAAAACGTTCACTCGCAATGCACTAAAGAACTTGCCTTTCAAGTTGTACTAAAATACTCTCCTAAACACTAACAGCCAACAGCTAAAAACATGATGCAAAGCAAGCAAAAAGCAATGTCGTTAAATGTCTTTTATAATTATAATTATATTTTGAAATTACCCTTTTTTTTATTGATTAACATATAAATGAAATTATTTAAAGAAACGAGGTTCAATTTCATGAATATCTATTATACCTGTTGGTTGTCTAGTATATTTTATGAATTTTCGAATCTTGCTGAACTATACTTTCACGGATTGAGTAGTGTTCTTCGGAAAGACAGTAATCTGAAATATATTGGATTGTTAGTGGTTCAATAAGTAAGCTTGAATTTATATTTTTTTGTCGGATTATTAATAATTTGTCTTTATTATTACACAGTCAATATTACTTATCTCAAATATGTTTTTTTTTCATATATTTAGTCTGTGGCCAGCCCACTTTTGATGTGTAGATTTATCTAGCTAGTCTGTGGATATATTAATCATATTATTTTATATATAGTATATCTACGTCCTGTCGTTCGATATCAACGAATGATGAGAGAAATAGTCTTTTTAGATAAAACTGAACGAAATATCTAATATTTATGTGAAACCATGGCAGACATTAATATGGAGAATTTTGCAGTGCCCGATTTTGTGCCAGAACGTTATGTGAAAGAATTAGCTAGATCATGTGTAGGAGGGGAGGAGCTGCAACAGCAAAAAGTGAAAATTGAAGGTTTAGCTGAAGAAACAGCTAGTGCACTTAAGAGAAATGTATACGAAAACTACATGCAGTTTATTGAAACTGCCACCGAGATATCCCACCTAGAAGCTGAAATGTATAAACTGTCACATTTATTAAGTGACCAAAGAACTGTTCTCACAAATCTCTCACAAGCGTCAATTTTAGGAAACGATAACACTCTATCTCCAGAATCTATCGATAATCATGATTTAGAGGCCGAGAGAGCTGAGGAGGAACGTAAAAATAAACTTAATCTAATTACAGAAAAAGTTGAAGGCTGTATGAATTTATTAGATATATCTGATAGAATATTGCTTCATGAAGGTGATTTGTTGGAAATTGACGCGGAGGAAAACACTGCCTTGCAAAGAATGCATGTCTACTTGTTTAACGATTGCCTAATGTTGACGTGTTGGATTTCCAACCGTCGTGGACCCATGAGGTACAAATTCCTTACAAGTTATCCCATAAGTACCATAGCAGTAGTCAATGTTCGAGATTTAGGCACTGTAAAACAAGCTTTTAAAGTCCTTGCCTTTCCTGATACCAGAGTATTTCAATGTAATAGTTTAGCAATTAAAAAAGACTGGCTGGATAAGTTTGAATCTGCAAAAAAGATGCACATTGAAAAAGAAACATCAAATCAAAAGAAGAAAGAAAGCCAAGAAAAGGTAAAAGCAGAGATGTTAGAGTCCCCTAGTCTCTCAGTTGAGGAATTGCCATCACCACAAATAGCGACATTACCAGATTGGCTGGCAGATGTAATAGAGGAGTTAGATGTACTTATTGTTGAAAGACATTTTCAAAAAACCTATGATCTTATGACATCAGCACAGAAGACATTAACCACTGAAGACTTTATAAAGCATCCCCAAAGAACTGACATTTTAAAGAAAATTGATCAAAAACAAAAAGCTCTGACAGAAATTCTCTTAAAGGAATTAGATGTTACTCAAAATTGGAGTCCAAGAGGTGGGCTAAGGTCTTCTCGATATCCTATACAGATACTAAATAAGTTTAATATGACCAGTCAAGCCTGTGAATTATTCTTAGATATCTGTAGTCAGACAGTTAAAGCTCATGTAAAAGGAGTCCAACTTGAAGGCTCTATACTTAGTTATGTAAAGCAAGTGGGTGATGTTTTCTTTTGCTCTCTTAGTGATGCCTTAACAGAGTTTACAATGTTATTTCCTAAAAATAAAATTAGCAGTTTTGTTGTTTGGGCTAGTTTGCAGCTTCGGATTTTAATGAGTCAAATAGTCAAACAAATTTTTACACCACAATGTGCTTTGGAGACTTTATTAAACTGTGTTCAGAGTTTAAGAGATCAGTGTACCCTATTTTGTGAATTTGGCCTTGATTTTAGATTTCAATTAAATAGCTATTTACGAACTCCAATTAAAAGAGCTTTACAAGAGTATAGGGACAAAATTGTGGATTCAATGAAAGCTAAGGTGACAGAAGACAAGTGGACACCGGTTAATATGCATACTAAAGCAGGTACCAACAGATTTTTAATTCAAATGACAGACATGGGAATAAATTTAACTAAATATGTGATAAATGAGACTTGGATTGATCTGTCCAGCAGCACAATATGGTTCACGCAGTCAGTAATGACTGTTCAGAATATTGGCATTAAAATTGTAACAGAGGAGATGATGGATGTAGTTGATATATGTATATTTGCTATTTTTAATGCAAGACTGGAGTTATCAGCGGGAAGTGACTCAAGTTACTCACAGAAAAATTTTACATTTTTATTAGAAGTATTAATACCGCTAATGCTTAGACTGTATAAGGAAGAAGTTGGGTATGATAATGAAACATTGCTTGGTTTGGCTAAGGAATATGGTGTCAGTGTTGCACCACCAAAAAAATCTAACATCACAAAGTACACAAGTAACGAATATTTATGAGATTAGAATGAACATATTGTTATCTATGTAAAAATTATATGCTGAAGCTTTAATAATGTAATATATAGTTGTTAAGCGTGCAGAATTTTGTAAGGTTATTTAAACTGATCAAATTAAAATTTATATTCTATGAAAGTTGAATTATGTGAAATTTTAATAAACCACCATGGTTTATATGGTTTCCTTTAATTGACCCCAAAGATAATTTAATGTTTGAGTAAATAAATCCATTTTGATATATGAAATGTTTTAATTACATGGGGATACATTTAAATAGTAATTAGAATAGATAAAGTAGTTACATTTTAATATAAATATTTGGTCTTATTCTGATTCCATTAAGGATTCAATAAAAGTATTTCCATTAATTAGTTTCGTAGTTAAAATAACAAATTCGACATTGGAATCTTCTTGTTGACTTATTGACCTCAGAGCCGAGATCTCGTGGAAGGTGCAACCTCCGATAAAAAATACAAGGACAACTTTAGGGTTGTCAACTGATGAATTTTCGCTGGAAATGGAGTTTCGTCGTACCATACGAGGTTGTAGAGTTTGTAGTTGGTCTAAGGTCGGTCCAGGGAGGGCTCCGATCACATCGACTATACCTATAAATAATGATTATTGTATAAATTTCGAATAGAATTAAGTAAAATAGTATGCAAAATTAATGCTCTATCCATTTCTATATTATATTTATAATTCAAAAAGAAATATAAAACAGACAATAAATACTACATAAAAACTCATTTTCGCATGTTTTTAAAACTTATTTGTTAGTTAATATTTCTGTGCCAGCAGAGGGTTATTGGGTACAGAAAAAAAAAGTTACAAATCGGTAATGGAATAGCTGAAGTTATCTATAGCATGCTATAATTTGTATGGTTATCTTTATATAACAAACAAACATGATTCATATTTTATTTAGGTACATTGATTGCACTTATCGTACTTGTTAAATTTATTTTGATGGTGTTAAGTTACCAATCTGTTTTTAAACATCCGTAATTAAATTAATACTTTAATTTTTTCTGATTTAATTAGTTGCTTTTATTGAAATAGAACTGCGCGATGTCTAAAGTTTAAAGATCAAATATCGAGTGGCGTCTATAATTGGACTATACTTAAACTTTTAAACGCTCGTCTTTTTACCGAAATAGTTAAGTTTTATGATCGTCGAAAAACATCAATAACATATTATATTTATTTGACATATATTTTCTTACCGGCCCATCCTTTATTTTTGGCAATATGTTCACTCAGTCTTACAGTTAATGGTACATATTTGCTTGATAGGAAACTTTTGTCTTTTGGATCCAACTCCGATTCCTCAATTGTTAGGTGCAGGGCCTTTAAACATTTAAAAAACAGTATAATTAGTTAGTGTGAATATGAAAAATATAGGCAGTGTATAAATTATGACAGACACAGAAGAAATTATTACAGATGACACAGAACAACCAGCATTAGGTTAAACAGTTTTTAATTATTTTTTAAGGCTTTTGTGGGTACGGTAAAAATATCGTAATTTTACATCGAAAACCGTCATATTACAATCGAAAGTTGACGTATGTCGGGCTGTGTTAGGGCGAAGCCCCACTGTTGCGTTGAGCCGTCGCGCGCGACGTTTCAACGGATCGACGGACAAGAGGCAGGGGGAGGGTGATCTGAACTATTTCTTAAAGCTATCAGAGGAGATATCCAGAATCTTCTATGGTTTCTAAGTTTAATTCGGCAGTGGCGGAATAAAATCAACAAAAGAACACGTTTGTGTCTGTCCATTGCGAAGGCTGAGACGCAGATGCGACGGCGTGTATACCCTCTTGCGTCGCGACGTCGTCGTGCGTCAACGCAACGCAGATGTGGCATACAATGCGTCAATCCGATGCGACGACGCAGCGCAACGCAACGCAGCAGTGGGGCCTCGCCCTTAGTCTAACAATCTACTACATATGTAAAGAAAAAATATCAATCAAATAGTTGTAAAATTGCCTATCCTATTACTATACAAAAATTATATTACTATATTTTAATCATTTTGTAGTGTTAATATTAAATACCTGTTAAAATAAATTAGGTTTCTTTCAACAAAAAAAAATATACCTTTCTCAAAACCGAATACTGCCTGGATCCAGTCTGAGGTTTTAATAGCCCGCATTTATCGAGGTTACATAGTGTCAGCCATGTTTTTAGTCCATAAACTTGGACCAATTCTCTTTTGTAATACTCAAGTACTTTGAGTTTTAAACCCGACCCAGTTACACATTGAAGACAGATAAGTCGTAAAACCTGTAAAAATATGCTTCTGAATAATAATTGACACAACTTAACGCGGGAAGGTTTTTTGACAATTGATACATTCCAGCCATAGACAATATAAAAATGTGGTAAAAATATTAAAATGTATATATTTTAAAGGTTAAATTTATAGCGGTTACTTAGCGGTTTTACTTATACCTAACATCAACATGTGATTAAAAAAAATTATTTGCACCAAGTAATCGCTTTACCTATTCAACAATTATGGCGAATTTTACATTATTTTTATAAATTAGAATGTATATGTGAGTAAAAGTGAAATTTTGACTCTTATTAATATATATAATTTGTGTTAAGGTTTATTATACCCTTTTAGAACTTGCGGTGTTTGTCAACGTCACTGCTTATTCTATAAATGATTTAATTAGATTTCCGTGTCGTGTCTCTTAAATAATAATATACTGTTTTTTATGTTGCACTTAAATTTTACCTTAGTCAATGGCACCTTCTGAGCGATTAGATCTTCAATAAACGGACAAATGCGTTCATTATCCACGCACGTCAAGAAGTCCTCTTCACACTGTATCTTGTCATGGAAATCAAATGAATCTGTTGTCTGAAAGTAATTACGGATATATTAAAAAAAATAGCACCATGAGACGGTGCGTTTTACAAATTTTCGACCAAAGGCGGATAGCGTTAGTTATTTAAACGGCGCCGTTTAGTTAAAACGCTAGGCTGTTAATTGAACGGCTTATTAAGCTAGTTGGCTGCGACATATACATTACATTACTTTGCATATAAAATATATTCAATATGTTTCTTTTGCACATGAATGAGGCCTTCTTCACACTCCGTTAAAATATATGAATTACCTGTTCTTAGTCATTTGTGTCGGTTAGAAACAAAAGTGGTCAAATCCATTTGGAAGTTTTTATGGGAATCAACGACTTTTTATTCTGTTCTCCTTGCATAAGCTGTTTATAGAGTTTGAATCATTATGGCTTCGTCTAAGATGTTCTTACTAATTAAAAAAAAAAAATACATGACCGTTGTACTAAAAAATCAAAATAATTGAATTTAAATTTGGGATTTGACCTATTTCGAAACCAAGCTATGGATTTGACTAGTTTTGTTATTGATGTATTTGGATTTGACTATGTTTGATCCTTAATAGCATGGATATGACTGACTTTGATGCTAAAACAATATCATGTCAGGGGTTCTCAATATTTATTTGGGTCGGGTCGGTTGGGTAGTAACAATAAATATAAACAACTTGGTACATAATCAATCTTGCTTTATATGAAAAATCTTAATTTTTATCCATCACTTTTATGTTTTTGAAATTTATTAAACTACTATGGCTGGTAATTCTTCAAAGAAATCACAGTCTTCAACAACCTGTTCATGAGCAGTAGATGATTTTGGTCTTGATATTACTTGTTTGTAATATCGTAAATCTGAGATTTCTTCCCACTTCTCTCCAAAATGTGTGGTTAATAATTTCTTCACATCATTTAATTTTTCTTGTTTAACGTCCACATATAATTTAATCACATCTGGATTTATAGCAGAAACCTTCTTTTTTCCTTTACATATATTTTGATACTTATTTACAGTATTTAGATAAGATTCTTCCGCTCGAATGTAAACATTTTGTTGGTCACGAGTCCTTTTAAAAAAAATCTTTTACATTTTTAATCGAAAAGTGCATGTTAGTTGTAGTTTTTAATACCTCAGCCGATGATCGTTTCCAGTCGTAGACTTTTATATCAAGTCCCAAGTAATATACAGTCCCATGACGGATGAAAATTTCGTAATAATCGTCAGGGCAAGTCATTACCTCACGACTTTTTATTTCTTTTTCAATTTTTGCGAAAACTCTGTCTGGTGGCAAAAATGAATGGCCAACAACTGGAAACATTATTTCTATGCCCAAAATGTGTACAGGTGCATAGTCTTGTAACCATTTAGCTGCCATACCAAGAACAGATTGGTTTTTATTTTGGCCACTGCATCCATCTGCTACCAAACGAATCTGTGTAATATGCTCCAACCCAGGACTCAGAAAAATTGAATTCAAGCAATGAAAAACAGCGCTAGCAATTTCATTCGATGCTTTCGGCAAGACGTCTTCAGTCCAGGTATAGATAAACGTGTTATTAACAGTTAATGGCGATTTTGAATTTCCAATTACCACCGTAAAATTGTACACATACAACTGCCTCGAGTAATATGCACTTTGATCGGGAACTTTTGGACACGGTTGGTTCTTTTGGCAATCGAAACTTAAAATTAAAATATTTTCGCTGTTGTGTTTTAATAAAGCATAAAACGATTTGGCTCTCAATTTGTGAATTCTACTCTCAATCATTAATTTATTTTTTATCTCACTATTTTTTTCATGTTTTAGTCGTTCTTGTAAAACTATGCAAGTGGAGCACATATCTGTACGAGGGGATCCAAAACCTATGTTAAATTCGGTTTTGAAAATTTGTCTGAAGTAAGATGCCTTAATATTTTTATTTTCATCCACGGTTTCTGCGATAAACATTTTGTAAAGTTTACTAATGCTGAGCTCAGATGACAAATATTGTCTACTTTTTTATTTTACTTCTGCAGTAATGTATTTCTAAAGGCTCGAGCTTCTTAATAAAGTCTTTGACAGCTTCCCTCTTAGGTGCATATTTTTGTGTTTTACGCCGCCCTCCTCTATTCTCTTGTGCAGATTCACCCATTGC